ATGGATATGGAGGGCCAATTGTGAAATAGATTAAAGGTTCTTTATCCATTCTTCCTGAGAAGGTACGAAAGAACAATGGTGTCATTTACCTTGATCTGAGAACATCCCTTTAGCTAAGACTTCTTCCTTAATTGCTTATCAGGAAAAGATGTGCCTCCCTTATCTGTGGTGTATTTGCTTGTTTGAATGAATGGACAACTGTGGTTGACACATAATATGTAATGACATCATCAGGGGCTGTCACTAGATCTCAGGTTTTGGCTTGGAAATCTCAGGGTCTGGGATGATCCTGGACTGGTAACCCTACTTTTTTAAGCTCTGGTCTGTACCAAGCCTAATATTATTGTGTTTGTGCATGTGTGTAAGATCTCGTTGTGGCACAAAGCCTGAATAAACCAGCTATTTTCTTCCTTTAGTAACATGGCCAGATCACTTCCCTGTTTTCCTAAGGTTTTTATTTTGAATTGTGTAAAAGCAATAATGGAATCTTCTCATTTATGGAAGGCTGCCAATTCTCATTTGGAGGGAATAGCTAAACATTTTAACAGATGAGTGGATACTGCCACCATGTGTTAAGAGCAATTTCTGTACATACAATGCCGACTTCGGTCTACACTGTCAAAATAGATGAAGAAAGGTAACTCAATGAAGCAATAATTTCTTGAATGGTAGGACTGCAGGAAACAAGTCCTGAAAGCTGAAAATTGCTATACTGTAGAAGAAGAAAATTAAAGGAGTAAATAACACTAAACAACCTAGAAGAGATGGGTCTTCTTCACACAAAGCAATTAGGGTGATAGAGGGAAAACACAGTGAATTGCAGTGTTTCTCAACCTGGGGGTCGGGACCCCTGGAGGGGTCATGAAGGGGTGTAAGAGGGATCGCCAATGACCATCAGATAACAGTATTTTCTGTTGGTCATGGGGGTTCTGTGTGTGAAGTTTGGCCCAATTCAATCATTGATAGGGTTCAGAATGCTCTTTGATGGTAGGTGAACTATAAATCCCAGCAACTACAACTCTCATGGGATAAAATCAACCCCCCCCCCACCAACCCCACCAGTATCCAAATTTGGACGTATTGGGTATTTGTGCCAAATTTGGCCCAATGAATGAACATACATCGTGCATACCAGATATTCACAACAGCAGCAAAATGACAGTTATGAAGTAGCAACAAAATAATTTTATGGTTGGGGGGTCACCATAACACAAGGAAGTGTATTAAGGGGTCGTGGCATTAGGAATGTTGAGAAACACTGGCTGAATCGGGCCTTCGCAGTATAGTGATTTATAATAATAATTCAAAATGTATGGAAAAAGGGCTATATACGGGTTATAAACACATCCAGACAAGCCATATATAGCAGGATCTGATCCCAGGTTTTGTTTTTGGTGTTTGTTTTTGTTTTGTTTGTTTGTTTTTTGCTTTAAATTGGATTATATGAGTCTGCACTGCCAAGTAATCTGGGATAAACAGAAAATCTGGGATCAGATTCTGGGATATAGGGCCTGTCTGGAAGGACCCTTTGTTTAGTGACATAGCTGTCATATATTTTGATGGACAATCATATTTTGGCAGCTAAGCTAAAAGTATTCCCTTGCACAGGAAAACACCAACTCCTGCCAAAAAATATATATGCAGGTGTGCATTAGATATATTGCTAACAGATACTCTGCCACTTCACAGATGCTCAAGCTCTCTCTCCGGCATTTTTTTTAGTTATTTGCCATTTTATGGAAAGGGACACAATTTTACTATACACTGTATATAATTGGAAATTGAATATCATAGATTTTAATATCTATGGACATCCTGGATCCAAATGCTAATGGATAATGAGGGCCTTCTCTGTCAGTACTATGAATATACAACATTAGTACTTTAAGATTTGTTTGTTATAAGAGTTGCAATTAAGGTAATTACTGTTTGGTCTATCGCTGAAAAATAACCAATATTATATTTAAACCTTTTATGCAGTTCATTTAAAGAGAAGCCTTGGCTCCAACAACTGGGTATTGCAAGAACCCTAGCCAAAAAAAGCATATGCAAAACTATGTACTGATGAGATCCAGTTTTAAATGAGCCTCTTCAAGAGATTATTCTTCAGGGAGTGGGTTGATGAATTATATTTGCACATTGTGCTATAATTTCTGAGAAACTTAAGAACTCTCCATTTCCTGCAACTGAAATGACATTAAAACTGGGTCGAGAAAGGTTTATGGAGACATAATAATACCATACATTAATAACATGGCATCTGTAACTGAAGATTTTGTATGTAGCGCTATAAGCCACCAGGATGTGTAAGTAGTCAAATGTTTGTTTATAGACAGCTCAATTGGAGAAAGGGAAGGAGTTGCTTTTTTCAAATAAATATGACAACTGAAGTTTACTGTTTGGTTGTTTTTGTCCATGGCGCCCTGGGAGAGATTGTGGTATGAGAAAGAATTTTAACTAGAGGTCTTTGGGAAATGAGGGATATTAACCCTGCAAAGAGATCTGGTGTATGTAAACAAGAACAACAGACATCATTCTGTGAGAAGTGGGTTCTACACATCCACTGAAACCCAAAAATAAGGTTAAAGAACGCTTAGGAACTTTTAACAATGGTAGCCGCAAGAATTGCAAGACTGAAAACTGGAGAAGACTCTTCTGCTTTTAATGGTTGTGTCGGAGGCCTCTTTCACACAGCTGAATAAAATCCTACATTTTCTGCTTTGAACTGGAATATATGGCAGTGTGGACTCAGATAAACCAATTCCAAGCAGATATTATGGGATTTTCTGCCTTGATATTCTGGGTTATATGGCTGTGTGGAAGGGCCCGGAGAGGAAATTTCAGCAAGTATTCTTTGGAGTTTAAATGTTATTGTCCTTTGTCTTGGGGTGCATCTACACTGTAGAATTAAAACCGTTTGACACCACTTGTACTGCCATGGCTCGATGCTTTTGAATAATCAGTTGTAGTTTTACAAGGTCTTAAGCTTTCCCTGCCAAATAATGCTTGTGCCTCGCCAAACTACAAATCCCAGGATTCCATTGCAGTTAAAGGGCCCTTCCATACAGCCATATAAACCAGAATATGAAGGCAGATAATCCACAATATCTGCTTTGAAATGGGTTATCTGAGTCCATGCTGCCATATAATCCAGCTCAATATGGATTTTATAAAGCTGTATGGAAAGGGCCAAAATGGCAGCAAACTACATTAATTCTACAGTGTGGATGGATCCTCTGGTATGTTCCTGACTTGGCAACATTAAATCCAACTCTGTGTGCGTGTCTGTGTGTGATCTAGCCCATCATATTCTTTGGGAACAAGGCAAAAAATCTTAAAGAGCATAAAAGTTAGTTGGCAATTGTATCTTTTTTAAAAATGTGATTTCCAAAGTTGTTTTAACAACCTTCTCCTTCACATCAATTCAATGATGACAACCGAGATACACAATTGCGATAGTATTGACACTGTTCCCCTTGTGGCTAACAGCCTAAACTGGCAATAACTGATACATCCAATATCTTTCAAATTGAAATTTGTATCATTTCAAGAAGTAAGTAGCTATTGTTTAAAAACAGCAACCTCCTTTGTATCTGAACCTGTGGAGACTGTGAAATACGGTATATGTGTTGGCCAAACAACAAAATAAAACAAAATTCACAAAAGAGAGACATCTTTATAGATGTATCTAAGCTACAGAAGTAATGCAGCTTGGCCACACTTTAATTGCTATGTCTCAGAGCAACTGAGTAGAGCAACTGCTTTGGGAGACGGTGGTTGGGCATTTGGACAACGTGGCCGGTCCAGTGGAGATGATAGCGGAGGAGCATCACTTCAATGCTGGTGGTCTTTGCTTCTTCCGGCACGCTGACATTTGTCCACCTGTCTTCCCAAGAGATTTGCAGGATTTTTCAGAGGCAACGCTGATGGAATCGTTCCAGGAGTTGCTTGCTTGTGGTGTCTGTAGATAGTCCACATTTTGCAGGCATATAGCAGGCTTGGGAGGACAATAGCTTTATATAAGAGCACCTTGGTATCCCTATGGATGTCCCGGTTCTCAAACACTCTGTGCTTCAATGTATTGTCAAAGGCTTTCATGGCCGGAATCACTGGGTGTTGTAGGTTTTTTCGGGCTATATGGCCATGGTCTAGAGCAGGGGTCCTCAAACTTTTTAAACAGAGGGCCAGGTCACAGTCCCTCAAACTGTTGGAGGGCCGGATTATAATTTTTAAAAAACATGAATGAATGCCTATGCACACTGCACATATTTTATTTGTAGTGCAAAAAACACTTTAAAACAATACAATAATTAAAATGAAGGACGATTTTAACAAATATAAACTTATTAGTATTTCAATGGGAAGTGTGGGCCTGCTTCTGGCTGATGAGATAGGATTGTTGTTGTTGTTGTTGTGTGCTTTCAAGTCGTTTCAGACTTAGTTTGACCCTGAGTGAGGGCCAGGTAGATGACCTTGGGGGGCCTTATCTGGCCCATGGGCCTTAGTTTGATGACCCCTGGTCTAGAGGAATTCTCTCCTGACATTTCGCCCGCATCTGTGGCAAGCATCCTCAGAGGTAGTGAGGTCTGTTGGAACTAGGAAAAAGGGTTTATATATCTGTGGAATGACCAGGGTGGGACAAAGGACTCTTGTCTGCTGGAGCTAGGTGTGAATGTCTCAAATGAACACCTTGATTAGCATATAATGGCCTGACTCTGTGCTTCATTCGGAAAAATGTCATATATTCCAGCTCAAAGCAGATAATGTTGGATTTTATTTAGTTGTGTGGAAGAAGTCATAAAGACATCCTTAATTGGCCTATATGTCTTTGTTTTATTGAGACCAAATACGTCAACGGTGTTGATTTAGGGCTCCCTAAAGGACCCAGTTGTGAAAGTCGGAGAACGTGGGGAAAGGCCTCTTTTTTCCAAGGCGGAAAGAATTTGACGCGGAACCTTTTGGCGCGGGAACTTCGCTCCCGCCGAACAGCGTTCTCTGTGACGCCGAAAGCGGAAGAAAGTGCATTTCTTCCCTCGGGGAAAGGAGGCGGCGGCGGCTCTTTGGCTCATCGGGGAGCGATGCTGCTGGTTCTGTCGGAAGAGCACAAGGAGCACCTGGGCTTCCTTCCCCAGGTGGAGAGCTCAGGTACAACATCGGACTAGCCATACCTTCGTAGGTGTAGAGCATGTGTGGCTAAGCAGATGTTCTTGGAGAGCGATTCCCATCAATGTTTAACAGGAAGTGAGGGAGACTAGCAGTTGCATTCCCATTCCTAGCTATCCTGGACTTCATTTCCCAGGAGTCCCGGGCAGCTTGGCCAGCAGTCAAGAATTCTGGGAGCTGAAGTCCAAGGCCCCTCCCACACAGCTGAATAAAATCCCACATTTTCTGCTTTGAACTGGAATATATGGCAGTGTGGACTCAGATAACCCAGTTCAAAGCAGATATTGTGGGGTTTTCTGCCTTGATATTTTGGTTATATGGCTGTGTGGAAGGACCCAAAACTTCTAGGGGTCCTTCCCACACAGCTGAACAAAATCCCACATTATCTGCTTTGAACTGGAATATATGGCAGTGTGGACTCAGATAAGCCATTTCAAAGCATGCATTGTGGGGTTTTCTGCCTCGATAGTCTGGGTTATATGACTGTGTGGAAGGGCCCCAAAACATCTAAGCCCCACACACACACAGTTGAATAAAATCCCACATTTTCTGCTTTGAACTGGAATATAAGGCAGTGTGGACTCAGATAACCCAGTTCACAGCAGATATTGTGGGGTTTTCTGCCTTGATAATTTGGTTATATGGCTGTGTCGAAGGACCCCAAAACATCTAGGGCCCCTCCCACACAGCTGAATAAAACCCCACATTTTCTGCTTTGAATTGGAATATATGGCAGTGTGGACTCAGATAACCCAGTTCACAGCAGATATTATGGGGTTTTCTGCCTTGATATTTTGGTAATATGGCTGTGTGGAAGGGCCTCAACACATCTAGGGCCCATCCCACACAGCTGAATAAAATCCTACATTTTCTGTTTTGAACTGGCATATATGGCAATGTGGACTCAGGTAACCCAGTTCAAAGCATGTATTGTGGGGTTTTCTGCCTTGATAGTCTGGGTTATATGGCTGTGTGGAAGGGCCCCAAAACATGTAGGGCCCCTCCCACACAGCTGAATAAATCCCACATTTTCTGCTTTGAACTGGAATATTGTTGTTGTTCATTCATTCAGTCGTTTCCGACTCTTCATGACCTCATGGACCAGCCCATGCCAGAGCTCCCAGTCGGCCGTCACCTCCCCCAGCTCCTTCAGAGTCAAGCCAGTCACTTCAAGGATATATGGAATATATGGCAGTGGAACTCCAGCAGTGGAATTCTTCGATATATATATATAGAGAGAGAGAGAGAGAGGGAGGGTGGGTGCGTGTGTTTATTTATACCCCACTTTTTCTCTTCACAAGAAGACTGAAAATGGCTTGTGTTTATTTATACCTCCCTTTTTCTCTCCACAAGGAGACCAAAAGTGGCTTTCAATACGATTTAAATTCTACAAATATACCAACATTAAAACAGAATTAAACTTCCAAAAATTCACAGTTAACATCCATAAAAGACTATTCAGAACTAAAACCCACAGCAACCCCTGACTTGATCAAAAAACCTTCACCTTTAAAAGCCTGTCTGAATAAGAAGGTTTTCACCAGCCACCAGAAGGACAGCAGGGAGGGGGCCATTCTGGTTTCCCTGAACAGGGAGTTTCAGAGTTGAGGAGCAGCCACCGAGAGAGAAGGCCCACTCTCTTTTTCCCACTAACCAAGATTGAGATGGAGGTGGGACTGAGAGAAGGGCCCTTCCTGAAGATCTCAGGACTCAGGCAGGTTTGTACAAGGAGATATGCCCAGCCAAATAGCCAGGACCTGAGCTGTCAAGGGCTTTAAAGGTAGTAACCAGCACTTTGAATTGTGTCTGGAAACAACTGTCAGGCAATGAAGCTGCTGCAACAGGTGAGTTACTGCTCCCTGTAGCCAGCCCCAGTTAGTAACCTGGCTTTAGCTCTTTGGACTAGCTGACGTTTCCGAGCACGCTTCAGAGGCAGCCCCATGTAAAGCATGTTACAGTAATCCAGATGGGATGTAACTAAGGCATGGCTAGATCTGGCTTCTCAAGGAACAGGTGCAGTTGGCACACAAGTTGTAATTATGCGAAGGCCTCCCTGGTTCAATGCTGAATCCAGGAGGACTGCAAACTGCAGACCTGTGTCTTCAAGGGGAATGTAACCCCATCCAACACAGGCTGGATCCCTATTTCCTGGTCTGCTTTCTGACTGACCAGGAGTCCCTTTGTCTTATCTGGATTAGATTTCAGTTTGTTTGCCCTCATCCAGTCCATTACTGATGACAGACATTTCATAAAATACTCCAGCCAACCTCAACTTGGCCACTTGATCAGATGAATTCCAATGCCAAATTTCTATGTGAACTGCTTAGAAACATAAAAGAAATTGATGAGGCTTGGATAAAGACAAAACCTTTTTTTATCACATTGGATGAGTTAATCATCTCAATGCAGGAATGTCTGGGTTACCACTCAACTGTTGTTCTGTAAATATATTTTTAAAGTAGCTATCATCTCTGCACTTCCTGTATTTTAGTCCCACCTAACTTCATGGTTTACCATTCTTCCCAAAGACATCTGACATATTCTGATCCATGACAGCTGATGCCATAATAAACATGTTAGTCAGTCAGATGCTTTACAACAAACCAGCAATCTCTATGAACAATATTGTAGGAATCTTAGTGGAATTGTTGATTTTTAGTAATTGCTTTGCCAGAAGTCCTCTACAATAATCTTGTATCAGTGACCGAAGCACTTACCTGTCTGAACGTATCTCTCCTTATGAACCATCTAGGAACTTAAGACCATCTGGGGAGGCCTGCTCTCGATCCCGCCTCCTTGGAAGCGCATCTGGCGGGGACAAGAGACAGGGCCTTCTCAGTGGTCGCCCCTCGGCTGTGGAACTCCCTCCCTAGGTATATTAGATCATCTCCCTCCCTCCTGTCCTTCAGAAAAAGAGTAAAAACTTGGCTTTTCGAACAAGTGTTTGGAAATGCAGCGGAATAAATAACTATGAAATAGGAAGATTGAACATGGAATGGCTAAACTATGCTGCTAGATAAATTACACCGGTAATTTATGTTTTTAATGGCTTTTATGTGGTTTTTTATAGTATTAGGTTGAATGTTTTTAAATGTATTTTTATGAATGTATCACATCAAATTCGGCCAATCCTGTAAGCCGCCTTGAGTCACCGTAAGGCTGAGAAAGTTGGGCTACAAATGCTGCAAATAAATAAATAAATACATTTGTGTGTACTATATTGAAATTATTTTGAAATTCTATAATGTGAGAAATGTGGACAGAGTGAGGTTTTAACACACCATAGTTCTTTACTGGTGTTGTGTGTCCATCCATTGGACACTTTCAGCACTGTTTCAATTTCCTTTTGTATATTAAGAACTATTTTGTTGTATATAAAGAACTGAAAGATGCAATATTATGTTAGACTATTTTCATCTGAAAATGATTTTTTCCTTTTCAGTTGTTAGTGAATTTGGCCGTATTGCTATGGAGTTCTTAAGAAAAGGCACAAACCCCAAGATCTATGAAGGAGCAGCAAGTAAGAACAAGTGGGTTGCATTGAAAAGCAAATGTTTGTTGGAATATCGTGGTAGTAAGAGTAACAATGATGTTGGCTGAACTGATACTTTCTCTAGAAAAGGTTCAACTGTAATTATTTATGTTCAACAAACCATCATTTCTTGCACTGGAATTGAGTCTGGTTCCTATACACAAGGTAGTTTCATATCCTAGTTTGTAAGATCATAAATCCCAGTTTCCTTGTTTGGATAACAGGGAAAAAAAACTAGGCGATCATTGAAATGGATGAATGGGGATTCGAACTATGTTCTGGAGAGCTATGGTCCAAAACTATGCAATGCTGATTCCATTCTAAAACATATGCTGACATATGTGCAAAGTTCAGTTGGACTTAGCTCCTAGTAAATGTGTGAATCTTGCTGCCAAACTTGTTTAAGCAGTGAAATATTATCCTGCATATTATAACAGATCAGCACCTATATGGCAAATCCATGTGTTGTGTGTTTTCTGATGTTCTCTTGCTTCCTTTTTCAGGAAAACTTAATGTTAGTAGTGAGACAATTCAACATGGAGTTGAAGGGTTAACCTACCTTCTCACTGAGAGTGCCAAACTTATGGTAAGCATGACAGAATAAGAGTCTTATTATTTTCTAGCAATTAGAAAAGGTAACAGTTCTGCAAATTTGGATGTTTCAGATGAATGTTTTGGTAAATTAGTACAGAATCCACAGTTTTTGGTTATTGTATATCAGAGGTCCTCAAATGTTTTAGGCAGAGGGCAAGTTCACATTCCCTCAGACGGTTGGGGGGGGGGTATAGTTTGAAAAAACAAAAATGAATTCCTAGGAACACTGCACATGTTTTATTTGTAGTGCAAAAAAACCCCTAAAAGAACAATACAATATTTAAAATGAAGAACAGTTTTAACCAACATAAACTTCCCATAATTTCAATGAGAAGGGTTGGTCTGCTTTTGGCTGGTGAGATAGTCAAGTTAAATAGGATTATTATTGTTATCAGGCTAAAGTTTAGGGCAGGGGCCGGGTCAAGGGCCTTGGAAGGTCACATCTGGCCCATGGGCCTTATTTTGCCTGCCATATATACTCGAGTATAACCGAGTATGACCCGAATGCAAGTAGAGGCACCTAATTTTACCACAAAAAACTGACTTGAGTATAAGATTATGGTGAAAAATGCAGCAGCTACTGGTACATTTCAAAATAAAAATACAGTATATTCTGGCGTATAAGACTACTTTTTAACCCAAGAAAATCTTCTCAAAAGTCAGGGGTCGTCTTATACGCGGGTGTAGTCTTATGCATGGGAGTTGTCTTAACTCTATATTTTAACTGGAAAAGTTGGGGGTCGTCTTATACGCCCAGTCGTCTTATATGCCGGAATATACGGTAGATACCAAACTATAGACACCTGAATTTGGATTTTGGAATACCTGCATTTATGGATATAATGAAACATCTTGGAGATGGGACCAAATTCATTTATGTCTTCAAATAATACATGTAATAATAACAATAATAAAGTAAAATAATGTAATAATAATTGAGTAAAATAATAAATGCAATAATAATAATAGAGTAAAATAATATTTATTTATTTATTTATTTATTTACTTTGCTTATATACCGCTGTATCTCAAGCCTGAAGGCGACTCACAGCGGTTCACAAACAGTAAAAACAGTAGAAACAGCAGTGGTTCCATACAACATATAACAATTGACTTAACACATTATCCATAAATTACCAATAAGCAATTACAATGCACAATTATTATGAAAAACAACCGTACCCAATCTTCTCATCATCCAAGCGTAGTCCAGGTTCGTCGTCCCTTGTTCCATTCCTATGTTCCATTACCAGATTGCACTAAATTACTCAAACGCCTGCACAAACATCCAGGTCTTCACCTTTTTGCGGAATACCATTAGAGATGGTGCTAGTCTAATGTCTGTAGGAAGGGCGTTCCACAGCCGAGGAGCCACCACCGAGAAGGCCCTATCTCTCGTCCCCGCCAGCCGTGCTTGAGAAGCAGGCGGGATCGAGAGCAGGGCCTCCCCGGAAGATCTCAAAGTCCTGGTGGGTTCATAGGCAGAGATGCGGTCGGATAGGTAGCTTGGGCCGGAACCGTTTAGGGCTTTAAAGGCCAACGCCAGCACTTTGAATTCAGCCCGGTAGCAGATCGGTAGCCAGTGGAGTTGGCGCAACAGGGGGGTTGTATGCTCCCTGCGCTCCGCTCCTGATAAAATCATGGCTGCCGAGCGTTGGACTAGTTGGAGCTTCCAAGCTGTCTTCAAAGGCAACCCCACGTAGAGAGCGTTGCAGTAGTCTAAACGGGATGTAACCAGAGCGTGGACTACCGTGGCCAAGTCAGACTTCCCAAGGTACGGGCGCAATTGGCGCACGAGTTTTAACTGTGCGAATGCTCCCCTGGTCACCGCCGAAACCTGGGGTTCCAGGCTCAGCGATGAGTCCAGGATCACACCCAAACTGCGAACCTGCGTCTTCAGGGGGAGTGCAACCCCATCCAACACAGGCTGTAACCCTATACCCTCTTCAGCCTTACGACTAACCAGGAACACAGGCTGTAACCCTATGCCCTGTTCGGCCTTGCGGCTGACCAGGAGTACCTCTGTCTTGTCTGGATTCAATTTCAATTTGTTCGCCCTCATCCAGACCGTCACAGCGGCCAGGCACCGGTTCAGGACCTGGACAGCCTCCTTAGTAGCAGGTGGAAAGGAGTGACAGAGTTGGAGTATATACCACTTTTCTCACCCCTGGGGGGACTCAAAGCGGTTTACAGAAAATAATGGCAAAATTCAATGCCTTACATAAATAAACCAAATAATAAATCAAACAGCATATGACTAAGCATAAAACACAATAGGACAAAACCTCCATAAGATAATAGGACATTTAGACATGAAGTATAAAAATTAAAAACACCTAATAAAAACATTAAAATCGCATGATCCATATTTATGTCTTGTACTGCGTTACTTTACTAGTCAAAAGCTTGATTCAATAACTATGTATTTGTTCTATTTCAAAAGGCCAGGAGGGAGGGCACTCATCTAATCTCACTTTTGAAGAGAGAAAAATAATAAATGTAATAATAATAATAATAATAATGGAAATGTAATAACAGTAATAATAGAGTAAAATAATAGAGTAAAATAATGGAAATGTAATAATAACAGTAATAATAGAGTAAAATAATAAATGTAATAATAATAATAATAATAATAATAATAATAATAATAATAATAAAGTAAACTTACTTACTTACTTAGGCGATCCCTCATTGTCCTAGTAGGATTATCTTCTAAGATCGGTATAATGGAGGTGGGTACATAGGTGACTGTGGAGCCTTATTCTTGATCTGCATCTTCTCCAGGTGGAAGGTGGTCTCTGTCGGGATTGGCTTGATGCACCTTCCTCTTGGCACGTTCTCTCTTTCGCCCTCCATTTGTGCCTCTTCAAATTCTGCACTGCTGGTCACAGCTGACCTCCAGCTGGAGCGCTCAAGGCCAGGGCTTCCCAGTTCTCAGTGTCTATGCCAGAGTTTTAAAGGTTGGCTTTGAGCCCATCTTTAAATCTCTTTTCCTGCCCACCAACATTCTGTTTTCCATTCTTGAGTTCGGAGTAGAGCAACTGCTTTGGGAGACGGTGGTCGGGCATCTGGACAACGTGGCCGGTCCAGCGGAGTTGATGGCAGAGGACCATCGCTTCAATGCTGGTGGCCTTTGCTTCTTCCAGCACACTGGTCCGCCTGTCTTCCCAAGAGATTTGCAAGATTTCTTGGAGGCAACACTGATGGAATCATTCTAGAAGTTGCCTGTGAAGTCTTTAGATAGTCCACATCTCACAGGCGTATAGCAGGGTTAGGAGGATAATAGCTTTATAAACAGTAAAATAATATAAAAGTAAAATAAATATAAAATAATATAAAAGAGTAAAAGAATAAATGTAATAAGAATAATGAGTAAAATAATGTAAATGTAATAAAAATAGCAATAATAGAGTAAAATAATGTAAATGTAATAATAATAATAATAATAATAATAAATAGAATAAAATAATAAATGAAACAACAACAACAGCAGAGTAAAAAAATAAATAGCTTTGACTCAAGTATAAGTCAAGGGGGCTTTTTCAACCTAAAAAGGGCTGAAAAACTTGGCCTATACTTAATTATATATGGTAATCTCCCATGTAGAGTTGCTGACGTTTTAGAACCAGCCCCATGGTTTTTTAAAAAACAGATGCTGATGATTTGTATGGATGAAACATATTTCATAAAAGAAAATGTAGTTACACAGAGATCAGAAGTAAGTAAAATAGGAATAGAAGCCATTGAAAACTTACATATTATCCCACTTATATTTTCCTTTGTAGATATCTGAGATAGATTTTCAAGACTCCATACTTGTACTAGGTTTCCCTGAAGAGTTGAATGCCTTATTACTTCACCTATATCTTGATAACCGGAAGGAGATCAGAAGTATTCTGAGTGAACTAGCACCAAAGCTTCCGAGTTATCATAATCTTGAATGGCGACTGGATGTGCAGGTAAGGGTAGACTTTGATAGTACATATTCAGAGTTTGGTTATAGTTTGTCACAACACAAGTCTTCCAACGAGTAGAAGGTAGGCATTTCGAAAGCATATAATATTATTCACAATAGGGCATTAGAAAGCAGCCTGTGTAATAATTCGTCCTCTCATGAACCAGTAATGTGTTACTTGCTAAAACCTGTTTGGATTTTGAAACTGTGGCTTCATATTAAGATAAACATTTTGTAAATTCTCTACCTCTACATCTGCTCAGCAGGTACAACAGAAATCTGTCTTCTAAGAAACAAGTGTAGTGACACATTATTAGAATTAGATTGATTTGGGGGTGAATTGTCACTTAATGTTAAGTGATTTGTTAAAATCCAGAATATTTAATAAAATATCAACATTTTAGCCTGCTGAAAACATTTAACACAGAAGTAAGAAATAGATTTGATTTTGACAAACTCAATAAAAGATGAAATATGCAAACTAGTCTCTAATAAAAATAATCAGCATGGATGCTGTCTGTTTTCTGAGTTGAGATTAAAACATTAAAACCCTTCATACCAATAAATCTAATTGGATGTCACAAATAGAAAGTGTTAGTTATATGTAAAAACTAACAGCTACATTATGAGAGTAGTCACTGAATACATTTATGCTACTGGTAAGGTAAAGGTAAAGGTTTCCCCTTGACATTAAGTCTAGTCGTGTCCAACTGTGTGGGGTGGTGCTCATCTCCATTTCTAAGCCGAAGAGCCAGCATTGTCCATAGACACCTCCAAGGTCATGTGGCCGGCATGACTGCATGGAGCGCTGTTACCTTCCCACAGAAGTTGTATCTATTCATCTACTTACATTTGCATGTTTTCAAACTTCTAGACTAGCAGAAGCTGGGGCAAACTGTGGGAGCTCATCCCACTCCCTGGATTCAAACTGCAAACCTGTTTATTTATTTATTTATTTACAGTATTTATATTCTGCCCTTCTCACCCTGCAGGGGATTCAGGGCAGATTACAATGTACATATACATGGCAAACATTCAATGCCATAGACACACAACATATATAGACAGACACACAGAGGCCATTTAACATTCCAGCTTCATGAGGGTATTCTGGCCACCAGGGGAGCTGTAGCTTCATTGTCCATTTGTGACACTGATGGAGTACTTCCTCATTCTTTGCATGCTTGCTGGAGATTTCTGTGGCATCATACATTAGTTAAATTAGCCTCCCCGCATAAGCGGTACCTACATTTCCTACTTGACAGATGCAACTGTCTTTTGGGCTGCAAAGATTGACAGCAAGCTACACAATGGTTGGAAGCTCACTCCGACCCAGGCTGGCTTCGAACTCATGACCTTTTGGTCAGTAGTGATCTAATGCAGCTGACTCCCAGCCAGCTGCGCCACAGTCCCGGTGGCAACTTCAGCAACTCAGCAGTTTAACCCGCTGCGCCACCAGGGGACCCTCCGTTAGTGGTATTTAAGCATAAATCTGTGTTTTAAATATTACTACTGCTTTTTTCCCTTAAATGTCTTCATCTAAACAGCTTGCCAGCAGAAATCTCAGACAACAGATTAAGCCAGTTGTGACCCTAAAGCTGCACCTGAACCAGAATGGAAATCAGAACACCCAAATATTACAAACTGACCCCGCAACATTGATTCATCTGATTCAGCAACTGGAACAAGCTTTGGGAGAGATGAAAACAAATCACTGCAGAAGAATAGTGCGCAACATCAAATAGCATTGTCATCTCAGGACACTTGCAGAATTAAGGACAGTGTTGCAAAGTAACAGTTCATTTGGGCCAGTCTTCAGCCAAGATCATGAAGCAATGTTTGCAGGCTGAATATAGTTTGGTGCTAATAGGCATGCACTATAATATAATATGCCATGTGCAAGTTGGAACAATTGGGATAAACTTTAGGGAGATGTAAAATAATTAATTGAACATGTGAGCTTCTCTGCATTCAGTCACCTTTGGCATAACAGACATCAGTGTGTTGCTGTGATGACCAATATTTTTCTCATTTGTTTGTAATAAGAAAAACCTTATAATTTTATCTGTCTTTATCATCAGACTGATTTCTTGCAATTATTTTATTTTTCCTGGGAAAGCTGTTTCTCAGTGATATGGAGATGGCCTTCATACCATCACTGCTCATTGATGGTATTGTGTAAAAAGAAACAACTGCAATTTGTGGTGAAAGTTGCAGTGTTCTAATAAACATAAATATCATGGTCTATCATTTAATTATGTATATTGATTCACACAAGACACTTCTGTGTGTGAGCAGTTCCAAATGCCTTGCCCATGTACTGATACATAGATAATGTGTTGTCTGGGCCATATGGAAAACAGACAAATTTAACAAATTCCACACTCAAAGCCACAATTAGAAAGAAAACATATAGAATAATCTTTCGATGGCATTCACTCAATATACTTAAACGTGTGGAAGGAAACACCTAGAAACTTTTATTTTTGTATACTTTATTTTGTAGTTGGCTTTTTCGCCTGCATCTAGGAAATTAACAGCTAAACAGAAATTGATTTTCTTTGACCTTTCAGGCTAGAAGACATTCTGTTTCAGTATTGGAAAGACATATGCTCACCTTCTATTAAACAATGAACAGAGAACCTCAAAATATTGTTCACATTTAAGCATGTGGCATATGGAGGTCAGCTGTGCATAAACATCTAATGAGCTATTTGCTATCCTTGTTAGATGTTTATGGATAGACTGTTTCATGTTGCTGTATTTCCAGTCTATTATCTGTCTGCTTATTATTTGTAATAAATGTACTTCCCCACTTAATTTATTTCAGTATGGTTTCTACATAACACAAACTGAATGAAAAACCAAGAGTGAGTGGCCTAACACATTAGGAATGTGGATATGTACGCATCACATGCATTATGTGCATAGTTTTTAAACAGTCTCTGTACTGGGAACTTTTGGAGATTGGTTTCATTTGCCACTCACTCTTAAGTTTAGCAATCTTCAAGGGGAAGGGGGGATTCTGACTATAAGAATACGTTGTGAACTATTCCTGTTGTAATCCTAGTTTTTAATGAGGTATCCTATAAATGAAAGGTCAGTAAATATGCATTAACATTACAAAATACCTGCTCCCAGTGAAGATTAAAACTGCCAGAATTGGTTTGTTAATACAGAGGACACAACTGTCCTTCGAAACTCCTGGAGGAAACATGGCTATAGAGACTGCCATGATGTGCACATGCCCTATAGAATGTCGACTATACCACTGTAAAATAGGCGAGAAAAATGTATTCTTGGTGAGCTGGGAAATCTCAGTGGAAACCAAGTGGTGGTCATTCTATTTTAAAAGGAAAAGGATTCCCTTATTTGTGCCAAGACATGGGGAAGATGTACATTGAGCACTTAGTGCAAAAGATTAGCGAATCAGCTCCATGGAGGTTAAATGGAGTTGATCTCGGCTAATAGCTGCTTTATGTAGCATTGAATCATGTTAAACAAAGTTGTGGGTTGCTCCAAATCCAAGCAAACTGCGACTTTTGGTAGACAGTTGGGCTGTTTCTGAGATGGAACCGGCTACGAGTGTTTACATGGCTATCCCATGTTTCCTGGGCTTTGGCAACCTGCGGACATGCAACGGCACTCATCATCCCTTCCTGTGTTGGTTGTGACAGCTAGCAGATGTGACATGGCTCCTGTTGGTCTAAGCAATGAAGCAATTGGAGAAGAGGGCAGCGAGAGTGTCCATCTGGCAGCTCCAAACTGGGTTCTGTGCTATCCCTCTCCTGCCTCCACAGTGGCCAGAAAAGGCTGGTGGTCTAATCATTGGTTCTCAACTTTTGGGTTCCCAGATGTTTTGGCCTTCAACTCCCAGAAATCCTAACAGCTGGTAAACTGCTGGGATTTCTGGGAGTTGTAGACCAAAACACCTGGGGACTCACAGGTTGAGAACCACTCTAAACCACCTTGAGGCCGATCTGGCATTCACTATACTGGATTGGCCCTGGGATAAGTAGGCAGTGTAAAACTACCCATAATTAGTTCTGGGATGCAAGTGGCTGAGTTTACTAGGTTAGCAATACAAGTAGCCTGTCAACAATACCTTCATTCTGACCCACCTTCCCTGTAAAGATGTGGAAATCAGGATTAGTTTATTTTCTTATAATTACAGTGACTACCCCACTATATATCCCCTTAGATAAGGAGCAGCAACTCCCCCCTACCTCAAATATAAACATGAGTCAGAGCCATATCAAAGGTTGACTGGATATGCTAATATTAGGACTGCATGCTGACTAAAGAGGGTTTGAACCAGTCAATTATGTAAGCCAAGATTGATTACTAATTCAATTACATTTGCATTCAGGTGAAAGCAACATTTCTAAAGCAAACCACTGCATATTTTATTTATTTCCTATATGTTACAGCCTATCCAGGACTTAAAATAATTCTACGTACAAGTACCACCTTCATCATTCACACACACACACACACATACACACACATACATACATACACAGGGGGGGGGGGAGTATTTAGTCAGATACCAATTGTACAAGTTCTGTACAAGATTGTACAAGATGGGCTCAAAGCCAACCTTAAAAACTCTGGCATAGACACTGAGAACTGGGAAGCCCTGGCCCTTGAACGCTCCAGCTGGAGGTCAACTGTGACCAGCAGTGCTGCAGAATTTGAAGAGGCACAAATGAGGGCGAAAGAAACGTGCCAAGAGGAAGGCGTGTTAAGCCAACCCCGACCAAGACCGCCTTCCACCTGGAAACCAATGCCCTCACTGTGGGAGAAGATGCAGGTCAAGAATAGGGCTCCACAGTCATCTACAGACCCACCAGAACACTGATCCTGGAAGATGATCCTACTCGGCCAACGAGGGATCGCCTAAGTAAAAGTAAGTAAGTACAAGTTCTCCCACTTAAAAAGATGAGAAAGGCCTATGAGAGACAACATGAGAAAATACATCCAGCAAATCACATTATCTGATTTTAATGAATTTCTTTGCAAATTATGGTGGAAAATAAGTATTTGGTCCAAAACAAAAGTTCTTCTCAATACTTTGTTATATATCCTTTACTGGAATTGACAGAGGTCAAAAGTTTTCTGTAAATCCTCACAATTTTGGCACACACTGTTGCTGGTATGTTGGCCCATTTCTCCATGCAGATCTCCTCAAGACCAGTGATGTTTTGGGGCTGTCGCTGGGCAACACGGACTTTCAACTCCCTCCAAAGGTTTTCTATAGGGTTGAGATCTAGAGACTGGCTAGGCCACTCCAGGACCTTGAAATGCTTGCCACTCCTTCACTGCCCTGCCGGTGTGCCTAGGATCATTGTCATGCTGAAAGGGTGTGCTTTGGATCATTGTCATGCTGAAAGACCCAGCCACTATCATCTTCAGTGCCCTTGCTGATGGAAGGAGGTTTGCACTCAAAATCTCACATACATGGCCCCATTTTTTCATGTATATGAATCAGTTGCCCTGTCCCTTTGCAGAAAAACAGCCCCAAAGTATGATGTTGCCACCCCCATGCTTCACAGTAGGTATGGTGTTCTTTGGATGCAACTCATCATTCTTTCTCCTCCAAACATGATGAGTGGTGTTTCTGCCAAACAGTTCTACTTTGGTTTTATCTGACCATATGACATTCTCCCAATACTCTTCTGTATCATCCAAATGCTCTCTAGCAAACTTCAGTCGGCCCTGGGCATGTACTGGCTTAAGCAAGGGGACATGTCTAGCACTGCAGGATCTGAGTCCCTGGCGGTATAGTAAGTTACGTAGATCCCAGCTCTCTGCAGGTCATTCACTAGGTTTCCCCGTGTTGTTCTGGGATTTTTTCTCATTGTTCTTGTGATCATTTTGACCCCATGGGGTGAAATCTTGCGTGGAGCCTCAGATCAAGGGAGATTATACAGTTCCTCATGTTGTGGTGACCCCCCAACCATAAAATTATTTTGGTTGCTACTTCATAACTGTAATCTTGCTACTGTTATGAGTCATAATGTAAGGATGTATTTTCATTCACTGGACCAAATTTGACACAAATACCCGATACACCTAAATTTGAATAATGATGGGGTTGGGGGTGGTGATTTTGTCATTTGGGAGTTGTAGTTGTTGGGATTTATAGTTCAACTACAATCAGAGAGCATTCTGAACTCCACCAACCATGGAATTGAACCACACTCTACACACAGAACTCCCATGACCAACAGAAAATACTGGAAGTGTCTGGTGGGCATTGACCTTGAGGTGGGAGTTGTAGTTCACCATAGAACATCATGGCCTCAAACAATGAAAGATCTGGATCAAACTTGACACGACTACTCAATATGCCCAAATGTGAACACTGGTGGAGTTTGGGGAAAATAGACCTGGACATTTGGGAGCTGTAGTTGCTGGGATTTATAGGTCACCTACAAACAAAGAGCCCCACCAATTAACCCCACCAATGAGAGAATTAGATCAAATTTCCCACACAGAACCCCCATGACCAACAGAAAATACTGTGTTTTCTGATGGTCTTTACCAACCCCTCTGACACCCCCCTCACGATCCCGCCCCAGGAGTACCGACCCCCAGGTTGAGACATGCTGACCTACAGGCTAATACGAGCTCTGCTCTCCTCCTTAAAACCCTCAAGAGCTGACAAACCCGAAATGACCTCGGAGAGGCATTTCAGCAGGTAAGGTCTGGCTAGCTTGGCCATGCCCTCCAAAGAAGAAACCTCCACCACTCTCCGGGGCAGAGAGTTCCACTGCTGAACAGCTCTCACAGTCAGGAAGTTCTTCCTCATGTTCAGATGGAATCTCCTTTCTTGTAGTTTGAAGCCATTGTTCCGTGTCCTAGTCTCTAGGGCAGCAGAAAACAAGCTTGTTCCCTCCTCCTTATGACTTCCTCTCACGTATTTATACATGGCTATCATGTCTCCTCTCAGTCTTCTCTTCTTCAGGCTAAACATGCCCAGCTTTTTAAGCCGATCCTCATGGGGCTTTTTCTCCAGACCCTTGATCATTTTAGTTGCAATCCTCTGGACACACTGTCCAATTGGACACATCTGTGTCCAATTGTGGTGCCCAGAATTGGACACAGTATTCCAGATGTGGTCTAACCAAGGTAGAATACAGGGGTAGCATGACTTCCCTAGATCTAGACACTAAGCTCCTATTGATGCACAGTATATTGGTATAGTAAAATATGGGAATGTTGTTGTAGTTGTTCATTTGTTCAGTTGTTTCTGACTCTTTGTGACCTCGTGGACCAGCCCACGCAAGAGCTCCCTGTCGGCCGTCACCACCCCCAGCTCCTTCAAGGTCAATCCAGTGACTTCAAGGATCCTATCCATCCATCTTGCCGTTGGTCGGCCCCTCTTACTTTTTCCTTCCATTTTTCCCACATACTTGTCTTCTCTAAGCTTTCCTCTCTTCTTATGATGTGGCCAAAGTATTTCATCTTTGCCTCCACTATCCTTCTCTCCAGTGAGCAGCAATATATTATACTAGCCATCCCCTGCCACACGTTGCTGTGGCCCAGTCTGTTGATCTGGAAAATAACGTAATGGTTTCTAATCTATGTAATTTCTTTATGCTTGTGGGTAAACAGTATTTCTTGTCTCTTTGTCAGTGCTAATGTGGAGAGTGTCTGGTTTGCCTACTCTGGAATATGCAATATATCGTTGTCCTTCTTTAGGGGTCCCTTTCAAATCTATGATATTATATCTCTCTGTGTGTAAATCATATATATCTATATCTATGGCTGGATGGCTCTTTGTCAGGAGGGCTTTGATTAGATTTTCTTGCCCTGGTGAAGAGAGTTGGACTGGATGGCCTTAAGTATTTTCTGTTGGTGATGGGGTTCAGCGTGGAAAATTTGCCCCAATTTTGTCGTTTGTGGGGTTCAGAATGCTTTTGATTGTAGGTGAACTATAAATCCCAGTAACTACAACTCCCAAATGTCAAGGTCTATTTCCCCAAACTCCATCTGTGTTGATATTTGGGCATATGGAATATTTGTGCCAAGTTTAGTCCAGATCCATCATTGTTTGAGTCCACAGTGGTCTCTGGATGTACTACAACTCCCAAACTCAAGGTCAATGCCCACCAAACCCTTCTAGTTTTTTCTGTTGGTCATGGGAGTCCTGTGTGTCACCTTTGGTTCAATTCCATCACTGGTGGAGTTAAGAATGCTCTTTGATTGTAGGTGAACTATAAATCCCAAGAACTACAACTCCCAAATGACAAAATCTAAAAATTTTGAGTGAAGGACATACATTGGGTTGTTAGGTGTATGCTGTCCAAATTTGGTGCCAATTCACCCAGTTGTTTTTGAGTTCTGTTATCCCACAAAGGAACATTACATTTTTATTTATATAGATTATTAGCATAGCACAATATTAGTAACATACAAATGTATGTTACTAATATTGTGCTATGCTAATAAGATAATATATTGTATTTACATATAACTTGTAAGCCGCTCAGAATCCCCTTTGGTGTGAGAAGGGCGGCATATAAATGTAAATAAATACATAATAAATAAATAAATGCACCTCATGGCATAATGCAGGTCACTAGGTCAGAGTCTCAGTTCTTGGAGTCTACTGGCTGTTAGGAATTGTGGGAGTTGAAGTCCAAAGCATCTGGAGGGAGGGCCGAAGTTTGCCCATGCCTGAAGCCGATGGGCCGAAGAGGGGCCTCCGGATTCCTCTGCAAGGAGCGTCCCGTCTCCGCTTGGCTTGGCTCGGCTTGTGAGTCATCCTGCTCAACTTGGCTGCGTTTCCGCCCGACATTCCCGTAAAACTCCCGCAGCCCACCCCCAGGAGGCTCCCCTTGCCCGGCTGAGAGGCAGAATTGGGGGGACAGTCCAAAAGGAAAGACACAGAGATCCCCGGCGGGGGCGGGAGGAGGGGCCGGGCCGAGCTCATGAATAATGCAGCCACCAAACTTTCCGCGCCGCCTTCAGTAGCGCCCAGGGAGTCCAGGGAAAACTTTGGGAGCGCCGCGGCGGAGAGGGAAGGGGAGCCCCATGGGTCTGTAGCCGGGAAGAAGAAGAAGGGGCGCGACACCCCTCCGCTCCCCCCTCAGCCAGGCGCCTTCCTGCCCCACTGCGACGCCACCCAGACTTTTTCCTGGTGAGTTCGGGCCTGGAAGAGAAGAGAAGAGCTCCCTCCGCCGGAAACTTGGATCCAACTCTCTCAACTTTGGGAAACTTCGACCCGCTCGGTTCCTCTCCGGCCGCCAGTCCCTTCGGTGGATTCCTCGCCCTCCCGGGACTTTCCCTCCCGCGGAGAGTGGGGCGGCTTGGCGAGGAAGGAAAGACCCAAGAAATCTCGGAAGTTGGCCGCGGAAGAAGGGAGGGGAGGGGGAGAGCGAGAGGGGGAGACGCCGTTGCACAACGCCCCGTGCCTGGCTCCTGCGGGCCTCTTGTTTGTTCTGGGAGATCGGACGAGATTAGGAGGAAGAAAGAAAGAAAGAAAGAAAGAAAGAGGCCGGAAAGGAAAGAAGGAAAGAAGGAAGGAAGGGCCGAGCTGCTTTGGAGTTCCAGCCAGAGGGAAAACTCGGGCCAAGGTTGCCTTCGGGAACTGAGTAACTGCGACGACCGCGTGATTTGGACTCTGGAAATGACACTGTTGTTTTGAAAAGGGGGGACTGAAGAAGCCGCAGGGACAGCTTGGCAAGGAAGGGGACCCACTTCTCTCTGTATCTACATATTTCCTAACCCCATTCCCTTCCCTCCTGCTATCTCTCTATCTTAGCTACCTATATATCTATTTCCCTGACTCCAATCCCTTCCCTCTTGCTGTCTACCTACATATCTATCTATCTATCTATCTATCTATCTATCTATCTATCTATCTATCTATCTATCTATCTATCTATCTATCTATCTATCTATCTATCTATCTAATCTATCTATCTATCTATCTATCTATCTATCTATCTATCTATCTATCTATCTATCTATCTATCTATCTATCTATCTATCTATCTATCTAATATACCTATATATCTATTTCTCTGACCCCATTCTCTTCCCTCCTGCTATCTATCTATCTATCTACATATCTATCTATCTATCTATCTATCTATCTATCTATCTATCTAATATACCTATATATCTATTTCTCTGACCCCATTCTCTTCCCTCCTGCTACATATATACCTACATATCTATCTATCTATCTATCTATCTATCTATCTATCTATCTATATACCTATATATCTATTTTCCTGACCCCATTCTCTTCCCTCCTGCTATCTACCTACATATCTGTCTCTTATCTATCTATCTATCTATCTATTTATCTAATATACCTATATATCTATTTCTCTGACCCCATTCTCTTCCCTCCTGCTGCATATATACCTACATATCGACATATCTATCTATCTATCTATCTATCTAATATACCTATATATCTACTTCTCTGACCCCATTCTCTTCCCTCCTGCTACCTACCTACCTACCTACCTACCTATCTATCTATCTATCTAATACACCTATATATCTATTTCCCTGACCCCATTCTCTTCCCTCCTGCTACCTACCTAGACCTACCTATCTCATCTACCTACATATCTATCTACCAACATATCTATCTAATCTACCTACATATCTATTTCCCTGACCCCATTTCCTTCCCCCCTGCTATCTATCTATCTATCTATCTATCTATCTATCTATCTATCTATCTATCTAATCAACCTACATATCTAGGTAGAGATCTATCTAATCTAATCTACCTAGATATCTATTTCTCTGACCCCATTCCCTTTCTTTCTTTCTTTCTTTCTTTCTTTCTTTCTTTCTTTCTTTCTTTCTTTCTTTCTTTCTCCCCTTCTCCTGCTTGTGGCTTCTCCCTTCGGAGGGCCCTCTCCTTCTTCTTCTCCGTCCTCTTCCTCGGGCGCCATGAACCCCGCCGGGCCGGTCCCCCCTCCCCCGGGCCAGCAGGTGATCCATGTCACGCAAGACCTGGACACGGACTTGGAGGCGCTCTTCAACTCGGTGATGAACCCCACGCCCAGCTCGTGGCGGAAGAAGATCCTGCCGGAGTCCTTCTTCCAGGAGCCGGACTCGGGCTCGCACTCGCGGCAGTCCAGCACGGACTCGGGCAGCCTGCCGGCCCGCCTCCTGCCCGGCGCCCACCCGCCGCACCACGTCCGCTCCCACTCCTCGCCCGCCTCGCTCCAGCTGGGCCTCGGCGCCGCCGCCACCGCCAGCCCGGCCCAGCAGCACGCCCACCTCCGCCAGCAGTCCTACGACGTGACCGACGAGCTGCCCCTGCCGCCCGGGTGGGAGATGGCCCTCACCCACACCGGACAGCGCTACTTCCTCAAGTGAGTGGCGCCCAGGGGAGGGGAGGGGAAGGGAAGGGGCAGGGGAGGGCCAGGCCGTCCTCAAGGGCTACCCGGTCCAACCTCACCCAGGTGGCCGTCCAACAAACCCCATCTGGAGACTCCACTACACTCTGAGGGGGAGTATTCCACTGCAGAACACCTCTTAGGCACAGGTTGGGGAAGGAAACACAGAATCCTAAAGTTGGAAGAGGTCACAAAAGCCATCCAGGCCAACCCTATTCTGCCCTGCAGGGAAAGCACCCCCACAGGTGGCCATTCATCATATACAAACCACTAGCATTTGTTCTCAACCTGTGGGCCCCCAGGTGTTTTGGCCTACGACTCCCAGAAATCCCAGCCAGTTTACCAGTTGTTTTTGGGAGTTGAAGGCCAAAGCACCTGGGGATCCACAGGTTGAGAACCACTGTGCTGGAGGAGACTCTACTCCATTTCCAGGTAACATAGTCTACTATGGAACAGCTCAAAGGGGGAGTAGGAAAGGGATGCCCCTAGGGCAGGCATGGGCAAGCTTGGGTCCTCTGGATGTTTTGGACTTCAATTCCCGCAATTCCTAACAGCCAGTAGCAGGCCCGTAGCCAGGATTTTGATTTGGGGGGGGGGGGGGAGTTTGATGGGGGGGGGGCTGAGTCTGAGTGAAAGAGGGTCTACCCTAGCAAACCTTTTATATCGTTACCCCAATACCCCCATGCATATGGGATATATTGAGTATGGTGATCAGATCATGATATGAATAAACATAACAATGTATTGTCGAAGGCTTTCATGGCTGGAATCACTGGTTGTTGTAGGTTTTTTCGGGCTATATGGCCATGGTCTAGAGGCATTTTCTCCTGACGTTTCACCTGCATCTTTGGAAAGCATCCTCAGAGGTAGTTGGCAAGCATCCTCATAACAGTTTAAATAATGCACCAGTAAGGCCTTCTCGTGGACCACCATGAGAATTTCGGGGGGGGGGGGGTGAAGTCCCTCATGTCCGCCACCTGGCTACATGCCTGGCCAGCAGGCTGTTAGGAATTGTGGGAACTGAAGTCCAAAATACCCGCTCTAGGGGAATAGAAGCACACAATCCTAGAGTTGGAAGAGGCCTCAAGGGCCATCCAGTCCAACCCCCTTTTGCCATGCACCCAAGCAAAGCCCTCCCAACAGATGCCCCTCCAACATCTGTTTTAAAAACCACTAGGCTCCACTACACTTGGAGGTAGCATATTCCACCATAGGACAGCTCAGGGACTGAGGGCGCAAGTTGAGGGATGGAACCACACAATCTTAGCGTTGGAAGAGTCCAACCTCATTCAGTCCAACCTCATTCTCCCCTGCAGGGAAAGCACCAGCAAAGTACCCCTGACAAATATCCATCCAGCATCTGCTTAAAAGGAGCCTCCAGTGCTGCAGTGGGTTAAACTCTTGTGTCTGCTGAACTGCTGACCATCAGGTCAGCGGTTTGAATCTGGGAAGAGTGGGTTGAGCTCCCTCTGTCAGCTCCAGCTCCCTATACAGAGACATGAGGGAAGCCTTCCACAAGGATGGTAATAACATCAAACATCTGGGCATTCCCTGGGCAATGACCTTGCAGACAGCCAATTATCTGACACCAGAAACGACTTGCAGTTTCTCAAGTCGCCCCTGACACACACAAAAAATCTGCTTAAAAAAACCTCCAAAGACTCCAACATAATTGAAGGCAGTAAATACCAAAATATATATTGAGCAGTGTAATTTATGGGAAGGAATGGAACTTTATGCAAGCATGGACAAACTTTGGCTCTCCAGGTATTTTGGACTTTCACTCCCACAATTGCTAACATCCAGTAGCTGTAAGGAATTGAAGTCCAAAATACCTGGAGGGCCAAAGTTTGCCCATGCCTGCCTTAGAGTTATAGAATCATAGAACCACAGAATCCTAGAGTTGGAAGAGGCCACAAAGGCCAACCTTTCCAACCCCATTCTGCCCTGTAGTGAAAGTGCCATGAAAGCACCCCTGACAGATGGCCAAACCATCCTCTGTTGAAAAGCCTCAGAGATGGAAGGTCCACCATAATCAGAGGTATGCATACCATTGTCAAACGGCTCTTACCATCAAGAAGTTTATTCTGATTAAGAAATTCCCACCCTTGATTCACTGACTTTTTTTGAAGGGGCCAATGGCAAATTGTCATTCTAGAGTCAACAGCAACAGCTTCCATGCCATTCCCTGTAAATCAGTGGTTCTCAATCTGTGGGTCCCTAGGTGTTTTAGCCTGCAACTCCCAGAAATCCCAGCCAGTTTACCAGCTGTTAGTATTTCTGGGAGTTGAAGGCCAAAACATCTGGGGACCCACAGGTTGAGAACCACTGCTGTAAATCATAGAGCAAAGCCCTCCTGACAGATGGCCTTCCTAAAATTTAGGAATCCCTTTTCCTGCAACTTGAGTCTAATGCTACTCCTGCCCCCTCCTCAGTGTGACGTCCTTTCACATATATAAATAAGGCTCTCTGTGTCTCATCTCAGCCTTCTTTTCTCCAAACAAAACATACCCAGCACCACCCACTCCCCCGCCACTCTTCATAGGGCTTGGTTTCCAAACCTTTGATCATTTTGGTTGCCCTTCTTTGGATACATTCCAGTTTGTCAATATCCTTCTTGAATTGTGATGCCCAGAAATGGACACAGTGTTATTCCATTTGAGGTCTGACTAAAGCAGAATAGGGTGGGTTTATGACTCCTCTTGATCTAGACATTAAACTTCTATTTACCCACATTATTTCCAGTAGCCCACCTCTCATTATTCCATAAATGCCCAGAGGCAAATATATCTTTTCACCTGGCAGCCAAAGGCAAGCAGGGATGGGCCATTCTTGTCTCTCTTGGGAGGGACTTCCAGGATCTGGGAGCAGCCACCAATCAAACTTGAGAGGATGGTTGGAGAGAGAGAAGGCCCACTCCAGGTGATCTTAGTGTTCTAGGAAAGGAGGCCTTTGGCTCTTTGGATGAAGTTGTTGTTGTTGTTGTTATTTGTTTCACTCTGGAGGACTGGATATAGACTCAAAACTCTTGTGTCTATCAGACTTGTGGCACTGGATATTAGTTCTGGAGGAGAACTTTATATGAGGTTGTTAAGCATTCCCTCCACAGACCTTTGAAACTTTTTGGAAAAGATCGACAGAGACATCATTGTAACTATATCCTTTGAAACAGATTAGCTATGATTTTGTACAAGCAAAAGGATGGACAACCTCAAACGATACCAGAGACCATTAGTGCTCCATTTCCTACCTGTTCCAGGGATCTCACAGATCATATTTCTAGTTTCTGACCAAACCAGAAGTGATTTTTGCCATTCAAGGTCTGGTTGGGGTGGGCAGAATGCGCATTTCTGGGATAAACAATCTGGAAGTTGAGTCTAGTCTAGAAGAGTGGAACGTTCTTCTAAGATGTTGCATTTATTCCAAGTAAGCTGCTCATGACATTTTCAAATATGTGTCCCAAAATATACTGTAGAAGGGAAGACCGTTAACTGTATGGGCCCTTATATAGTGGGGAAATGGATGGAAGAGGGCCTTACCAAAGCCATGTTTATGTGGGCAGAGGAAAAAGAATTTTGAAACTGGGTAATCTGTATTGCCTTCAGAGCTTGTAAAAGTCAAGACGTTGGTTTATATGTTCAGATGAATAAACATGGAATAGACATGTCTTCAGACCATCACTGTGCTATTTTGAGGGAAAGAGACTTCAGGGAATTTGAGCACGATAAGAAGAGGATTAGAAGCGCTGTGAAAGACATCTACTCTGACTAGGACAGAGTGCTTAGTCCACACATTTAAAGTTAGGACATAAGCATCTAAACAGGGCACATTGGGACTTTCCATACTATCTCAGGCTTCAGTTCCCATCATCCCATACCATCAGGAGTGGGAATTGTTCTGCCTTCCAGATGGTGCTGAACAGCAAATAGTGAGCATTTGGAAGTTGCATTGAAACAACACCTGGAAGGCTGTACAATTCTCACAGTTACTATAAGCATTGCTAGCTAGGGGTTGATGGAAATTATACGCTATGGAATCATAGATCTAGTTTTGCTAGGTCTTTAGCCTTCACCGCTAAAGAGTGCTGGTGCCTCATCAAACTGCAAGTCTCATAATTCCATTGCATTGAGCTATGGCAGTTCAAATGGTGCCAAATGGATCATGTGATTTTAATGTTTATACTAGGATGTTTTAATGCTATGTCCTAATGTTTAAATGTTGCTTATGTCTTACATTTAATGGTCTTAATGATTTTAACTCATAGTTATATGCTGTTGTTTAGATATTATGATTTTTTTTGCATGTATGTTTAGCATTGAATTTTGCCATTAGTATGTTGTAAACCGCTTTGAGTCCCCCCAGGAGTAAATGCAGTAAATAAATAAATAAATAAATAAGGTAAAAGTGAAGGTTTTCCCCTGACACGAAGTCCAGTCGTGTCCAACTCTGGAGTGTGGTGCTCATCTCAATTTCTAAGCCGAAGAGCCGGCGTTGTCCATAGATACCTCCAAGGTCATGTGGCCAGCATGACTGCATGGAGCACCATTACCTTCCCACCGGAGTGGTACCTATTGATCTATTCACATTTGCATGTTTTCCAACTGCTAGGTTGGCAGAAGCTGGGGCTGACAGTGGAAGCTCATGCGGCTCCCCGGATTCAAACTGTGACCTTTCAGTCAATAAGCTCAGCAGCTCAGCACTTTAACCCACTGCGCCAGCATGGGCTCCCATAAATAAATACACTATGCTAATTCTACAGTGTGGAATCTTTCTACAGCAGGGTTTCTCAAACTCTGCTCCTTCAAGTGTTTTGGACTTTAGCTCTCAGAAATCCCAGCCAGTTTATCAGCTGTTAGGAATTGTGAGAGCTGAAGTCCAAAAACATTTGGAGGAGTACAGTTTGAGAAACCCTGGTCTATAGAATAGTTAGCTGGGGTGGTGGAAATTGTAGTTCTGAACATTTGGAGGGCCCCAAG